AGAGAGAGAGAGTCAGAGAGAGAGAGAGAGAGAGAGAGAGAGAGAGAGAGTCCCAGTGTTTTAAGGGCCAACCAAAAAAACTATTAATATAGATCCTAATGTTCATATTCAGCTGAATGCAAGCCCCCATCCCTCCATTACTCTTTGATAGTAGCCACCACCCTAGGCAATAATTCCATTGATAGTAGCCATCGCCATTCAGTCACCTGGAAAATGGATTTTCATTCATGAGGCAAAGATACTGTTTAGTCCCTTGAACATGAATGATCTTTCCTCCTCTCCATCTCAAAATCCCAGAGTCCTCCCCCAATGCCAGACACCAGTGACAGTATGGAAACAAAATCTCTGCCACTGAGACAAGGCATGCCCCTGCGGATATTGTCTGATATTGAAGAATGCAGGCCGATAGCATGTGTGGGCCATGACATTGGCAGGAAGAAATGAAAGCCAATAGGGGTATTTGTATTCAAACTCCAGTTTCCCTAACTCTGCCATTCAGAAAGGTGATTTTTATTGCCAAACTCCTGGGATGATTCCTTTCTTGTTTTTTTTCCTTTAAGAGAAGCAGAGACTCCAATATTTCTCTCCTTCCCAGCCCCAACAAAGGGGAATTTATGAGATTCCCCTTAGACAGTGCAACCTGAGATTTAAGGGATGAGTGAAAAGAACCCTTTACCATGCCCAGGCTCTTTGGGCATGGTAAGGAACCCCTAAATCCTAAGGAGCCCCCAGCCTCATCCATCACAGAAGTTCAGCCCTGTAGAAGCCATGTTCACAATTGAGAAGTGGCAAACAGACTGTTGCTGACTCAGCACCTCAAAAGTGACCAGCGCTTTCTGAGTTTAGAGCTTGACCCCAGTGGGGTACATACAGGAATGTCTCAGTTCAGTCACATAGACGGCCTGGGAAAGGTAGAATAATGTGTGAGAACTGATGTCTTCTTGTTGACGTACACACTCTTTGGTGGATTTGTGATAGCTTTATTGTTGTGTTAATGAATTACTGTTTGAAAGCACAGACCAAATTTTCCTGTTGTCATTGAGCGTATAGGGACAGTGTGGCAGATTCCAGCACGTGTGTTAATTGTCGGGTATCAGCCGAAGATGCCAGTTTCTGTAAACCACTGTTCTGGGGGTGGTTTTTTAAACGTAGAATGTATAAACGTGTTTTGAAGGATCATCAGTTCTTTTGTGAAGGACTCGAAGGCTACTGTTCATGCACTGAGCCAGCATCCGTAACAATAGCACTGGACTCTACAGTGGGGGGGGCGGGGGGGAGGATGAAGCAAGCTGTTTGCCTTTTGTTGTTGTTTTGTTTTTGTTTTTTGAGACAGGGTTTCTCTGTGTAGCTTTGTAGACCAGGCTGGCCTCAAACTCACAGAGATCCTCCTGCCTCTGCCTCCTGAGTGCTGGGGTTAAAGGCATGCGCTATCACACTGGGCTAAGCTGTTTAACTTTGACAGTCTCAAATTCTATAGAAGCTTCCAGCAGACCCTTGTGGCCTTCCTGGCAGGTTCCTTGGCATCAGACATTCCCCTCTAAAGCAAAGATAAAGTTATTTTTGACAGTTTGCAAAATATTTTGAGGTTTTAGGATATTCTTGCATTTGTGTAGGTGTTTAGAATCAGAGATGTATTTGAAAACAACATTCTCAGAACAGCGGCAACATTGAAATGAGCACTAGTCTTGCACACCTTCCTCTGAAATAGCCACACATCTAACCAATGTCCAGTGACCAAAGAGACTGTTCATTTTCGGTTTATTTCTGGGTCTAATTTTGTCTGGTTTTGGCTGCTTTGGGCCTTGAGTCCAGGCCCTGGTTGACAGATGTGTGTAGTCTGTGCCTCCCCTTGCCTTTGCCAGGATGGCAGCCTGCTGGTGCTTCCTGTTTGCTCATTTGGCTTTCTTTCCCTTTCCTTCCTGGGGGGCCTGGTGGACTGGCAGCTCCGCGGTCCAGCAGACCAACTGCAGAGGTTCCGTGCCATCCAGCAAGGGCAGCAGCAGCGGCAGCAGCAGCAGCAGTAGCAGCTCCTCCAGCGACTCAGAAAGCAGCTCCGGATCCGACTCAGAGACTGAGAGCAGCTCCAGCGAGAGCGAGGGCAGCAAGCCTCCACACTGCTCCAGCCCCGAGGTAGGCAGCAGCTGCTGGCTCAGGCTGTGGCTCCATGGCCAGCAAGTCCCCAGCCCTGGCTTTCATCCTACCTGCCTACCCACCCTCCTGCTGTCCCCCAGCCTGGAACAAGCTGTTGGGCTATGGGGTTCTTCTCTATTCCCCACTGTGCCCCCTCCTCCCCGTCTCATGATGACACTGCTTCCTTTCAAATACGAAGCATCAGCTTTTACTGTCTAAAACTCTCTGTTCGGCTTCCAGAAATTTCCACATATGCTATAAACATCACTGACAGGAAATAACCCATGGCTGGGGTCTCCCCCTCAGGGCCATCCCAGGCAATAACCAGGCAGAGAAGTTTGTCACTTGGGAAGTGTGACCACCCATAAATCACAGGCCAAAGAGTTTTATGCATTGGGCATGCTTAGAATCTTACCTTTCTGCAGTTTGTCACGGATCAGAAGAACAAGGGCTATAAATATTAATAAAACCACCCTTACTGTGTTTTCTTTGTGAAAATATAAAAGGAAGAATTAGCATCCACCTACAAATAATAATGAAACCTTTTACAGCTGTGATCGGTATCTAAGGGGAAGATTTAGGTGCCTCATATAAAAACATTATAAGGTACCAATAAAAACCATTGCTGTTTCTACTTTCAGTGGAAAGGGGGAAATTAAACAGTAATTCAGAGCCTGAAGATTCTTGGGTGAGGGCCGAAAACCAGGTCCTCAGGCCTGTGGAGCCATAAGGGCAGACTTTGCTTTCTAAATACTGAATAAAACTGTTTCCTCTTGAGATTATAAACAGTTGACCTCACTGTGGATGGTGGGATGAAAAGCTTTGCTTACAACTCTCTATACCATCTAAGGGACCAAGATCCTAAATAGACTCTGAGACACACAAGCGGACCCACTCACGCAAAGTCCAGCTGTGAAAAAAAAGGAAACACCTTGTAGAGAATGCATGCCTGGTGTCATACCTGTGCCACCCTGGAAGTAGTTATGCTCCCATTCCGAGTTCACAGAGGGCTCCTCACACCCGTGCACACTTTTGTTTTATGTCCCCACAACCCTTCTTCACTCTTCAGCACTGGACTGTCACGCCAAGCTCTCCGTGCATCCTAAAATAAGCCGTTCACCTTTTCTCTCCTTTCTACAAAGTTCCCACCTGTCTGCCCAGCTATCTGTGTGCCTCTGTATCTGCCTCTACCCATAGACAGAAGGTCAAAGGCCTTAGCTACACTAACCTATTTATTTTACCCTGACTGCTCCCAGAAACTAAACCACTATTCCTCCCTCATCATTCATTCATCCATCCATTCATTCATTCATTCAATATTCATTCAATAAATACGAATTGACCATCAGCCATAGTACTTATCTTGGCTTAGGAATGTAACAGTTACATGACAGAAAATGTCCTGTCTACCCAGAGCTAACATTCCAGTGGGAGTTATTTGAAATAGAAAAAATACAGGAATTAAAGAATAAAATACTGGAGGTAATTGAGCTTTAATTGTACTATAATTTGTTGAGAAACTCCAGAATATTGAATTATAAAAACAACAGAGCGGGCTGGGGAGATGGCTCAGGGATTAAGAGCACTGCCTATTCTTCCATAGGTCCTGAGTTCAATTCCCAGCAACCGCATGGTGGCTCCCAGCAATCTATAATGTAGTCTGGTGCCCCCTTCTGGACTGCAGGGATACATGCAGGCAGAGAGAGCTAAGGTTATAGTCTGTGCTAGAGTACTTGCCTAGAATGCACAAAGCCCTGGGTTCAATCCCCATTACCAGAAAGGAAAAAGGAAAGAAAAGAGATAGGAGAGAAGGTGAAAGAATAGTACTACATCCCAAGGCAGTGCCAGAGCCAGTGTGTGTGTGTGGGGGGGGGGGGGGGGAGAT